CCAATTATTGTGCTGGCTTCTCCTTGTTTCACTTCCTCCTTAGAATTCCTATTTCTGGCTAATATCTCCGGCCTCCTGCTGAATTCAGTAATGTAGTCTCTTAAATATGAATTGCAAAATATAGATTAGCAATTATTTTGACTCTAAATGAATCTCATGCCATAGTAAACTCATCTTGATATCATGCAGACTTTCATTTAAGTATTTCAAATAACATTGTATTAAAATTATTTCTGGTAAATTTTGAAAATATTTAAAAAAATCTGTTCATTGAGCACATTTTCTAAACTGTATAGAAAGTTTCCTGGTCTTTTCATGAAAGTCTTTTTTTCTGAAATTTTCAAAAATGATTTTATTATGTTTTATAGAATAATAATGATAAGTCAAGGTATGTTTAATATATATCTATAAAATCTATTTTTTTACTAGCTTGGCAGTGTTTTGTCTTTTTGTAATATACTTTGTGAATCCAAGTGGTTACCCTTGTTAGACAGCTGTTGTCACCGTTGAATGGGTTAAAACTTAAGTGTTAAGAAATTTATATAACACTTTTCAAGAGAATAATTCCATTTTACATGGTTGAACTGGAATGTCTAAGGTAAACATTAAGAACTCCTAAAAGGTGGATTTGATTCAAGGTTCCCCAATGTTTTCAAATTGCTTGCTTTATTCATGGATGTTTTAACTCTCTGATCGAAAAGCTAATTTCGGGGGTGAAGGGAGGGCAGGGGTAAGGGAAAAAAATGAGAATCAAGACTTGTCATGTAGAGGTACAAGATCCCAACAATGAATGTAACTTTACTGTATCCCTAAAATGTGACAATAAACTCAGTTAAAGCTGAAAAAAAAAAAAGCTAATTTCGGACTTATAGTGGTATTTTGCCAAGTTAAGTATTTTTGGGATATGTTGATCCCTATCTATATCAATATTGTGTGCAATTGTGCATGGGAATATGTGTTTTGAAAGAAAAAGAATATTGTTTTGTTTTTATTTATATTTAGAACCATTATATTAAGATATTTTAAACAGGATACAATGGAAATCTCTGTATAAAGGGACAGAACTGTAATATTTGAGTTCTTGAAAGAAAGCTTCTTTAATAAGGACCAATAGAATCCACAAAATTTGAGGATTTGGATGTAAATATTATCAAATAAAATTTAGCACTGTCTAACCAATAAGCATTTAACAGATTGCTTATCTTCAGTATTTAGCTTAGTAAGTTTAATGAAGTATTATGTTTATTCTTTTCTGTCTTTAGTTTCAATAGCTTCATTCTGTGAAAAAATATAACAATAGATGAACAGGAAAAAGCCAAGCGAAATGTATCAACGTGCAGAAACATGTGAGAGTCATACAGAAAGTAGGTGACTGGGGACGGCTTGATAGTTGGAGTTGATACAGAGCTAAACAAAGGGGAGGGCAGGTGACAACAGCGATGGATGCTTAATAACCACCTGTCATGACCTCTATCTGTGCCAGCTGTGAGACTCCCAATATATTCTTCTTATGATAAGATCTTCTCTAGGCAGAAAGTGAACATCAGACAAAAAGCCTGTTTATGTTTACTATTTCTTTATGTCAGCAATGAAGATTCCCTTTTTCAATGTAATTATTTTGAAGAAAAGGAAGGCTTTTTAGTTTTCCTCTGGCTGCAGAAGTCTGCAGTTGCATTATATATACAAGTTGAAATGCTCCAAAAAATATAAACTGGGTAGGACATTTTATGGATCCACATAAATATTAAGGAATCCATTTTTGCAAAGCACAAAAGAAACTTTACAAATCAGTCTTTCTAAAATTTACTTGTGCAGGTTGGGAAGAAAGCTCAGCTGGCTCCCTTTCCTTTGGTTCTACCTCAGTGGTAGGACAAAGAATTCGAGAATTAAAGGGCTTTTTCAGTTATCTAATAAATGCCAGCTTTCAATTAAAGTATAATCTCAATAATCTAAGTATAGGTTATGCATTCTTATAAATAACTGTAACAGATTAATTTTTGATAATATATTTGTTACTGACTTGATTCTGTGACTTTAAATTTGATATCTAAATACATATATTAATTCATAGAATGCTTGTATGTCTTTTCCTCTATATTTTTTCTCCATTCTTTTGTATCCACAATTCCTTCCCCAATATCTAGTAATTAATTTAGCCTGCCATCATACACAATGTTTTCTCATGCTCTTTTGTGACATTATGACTATCAGGCTTCAATATGTGGATACAATGCCCTGAGGTTTGAGCATTGAGAGATATTGATCATTAATAGAATTGTTAAACCAGAACTGGGCTGTAGTTAAATCAGTAAAAGCTTATTGTATTGTGGAATTATCTCAGTAAAGACAAAATGACCTAAGTATAGAACTGGACCCAATTACAAATACAGCAAGGATGAGGAGGAATGGACAGCCAATGGGTGGGGGTCAGTAAGTGGAAAATTAATAAGAATAAGTATTAGGTGAAGTGAGGAAGGACTAAGGCTGAGTGTATTTAATAGGATTCTTGCAGAAGGCAGGCCAAAGTGATTAGATATCCAGAGGATGGCACAAAAATTTTGATCAGATATTGAGGCGGTGATAAAGGGTGACAGATGCTCTCTAAATTGAGTTATCTGAACTCTTGCTAAAATGGAACTATGAAACAGTGATACAACTGGGTTATCAAAAAGATGAAGGCAGAAGTTGAGGCCTCAGTAAGAAGAGGGTCCAGAGGAGCCTGACTAAACTTTGAAGGAGATCTCAAACTGATAATGGTGAAGACCGTAGGCTGAAGACTTGTCATGGGTGCAAGACACAGAAGTAAGTCTGAGAGCAAGAGTGCTGTTTGTGTAGTAGTGTAAATTAAAACAGAAAAGTATTGTGAATGTGGTTTATGAGAAACCACAAATGTTACCATATCATGATAAAGATTATCCTCATAGCTGTTGAACTGTAACAATATATTTTTAATCATTCTGATACCATTATAAAAGGTCTAATAGAAAGAAGGAGTATATTTACAGAGGAAACTCTTTTGAATTTAAGGAAATAGATATTTTTCAGAAGAAATGGAAGATTCTGAATTAGCATCATATTAGAAGAAATCAAGATTTATTTCAAAAATATTTTAAAATAAAATGAAATTTCATTTTTGCTCCTAGAGTAATATAGGGAAAGGTTACAAAGACATCCTTAAGATTTTAACCTAGGTAATTGGCTACCATAGAGAGCAGGTGTATATCTCTTTGTTTTGAGTTAAATAGAATGAGGATATTTTCATTCTAGCTTTAAATTTACTGAATTGACACTATTGTTGAAGTTGAGATTACTGACTAGCCAAATTTATTAATCATATAAGCCTGAGCCTCTCATCTTTGTGCTATTAATGGATAGAAACCAGCAATGACAAAGAGATAGAAGCAAGTTCCACCGAAGCTCAGGACAAAAAAAAAATCTCCAAATGCTTCTTTATATCCATTTAATGAACAGGTGGCTTTCAGTTTGTTTTTCAGTAATATTCTAACTCCTAAGGCTATCTGTAAGGAATGTTGATTTGCATTGTAAAAATTTTCCAAAGCTGTCAAACTGAATAACACTTTAAAATGCAGACATTCTTTCTCAATGCCAAGAAAGGGGGAAAACAACCATGAAAACGTAAATTCTCTTCTACAGGGTCAGGTTCCACTATTTTTTTTCCCATTTCTCAACAGGTTTCCACAAGCACCTTTTACATGTTTGTTGAATTTCATTGAGCCTTCCCTGATCTGAACATCAGTTAAACTGTAAAAATACTGTTAAAGAGAACCAGAGCTGGACAGTACAGTTTTTCAGGAACTGTTACATAGGAGGAAAATAAAATTAAGTATAGAAATGGGCTCAGTCCTCCATATAACAATAACTAGTGAGGATTCACAAGCAAGAACAGGGGTGGAAGGGAAAGAAGAGAGAGAAGTTGCACTGCTGAATGGAAAATTATGAAGAGGTGACATCAAGGGGTAGGTTGATTTTTGCTAAACTTACTTAGCAGAATTCATGCTAAAGTTAGGCCAGGGTGATCAGATATGATCTCATCTAAATTGAGCTAGTAAAACCAAGCTCTTGCTGCAAATGAGCTCTTCAAATTTTGCTAGAATGCCAGAAAACAGGCCATGGTTGAAGGAGGGCTCGGAGAATCTTGACTAAAGTTGACACTGAGATTTTCAGAAGGTGAAGAAGAAGAAATGGAAGAGGAAGGGGAATAAGAAGAAGGAAGAAGGGGAAGGGAGGGGAGGGGAGGGGAGGGAAAAGAAAAGACAGCACTATCATGACTTTATTTTTTAAGTTTGCTCTTTTGTTTTATGGCAAATATCACATAATGTTATTGATTTTGAAAGAATAATGGAGAGTTTAGAACTAAAGAAAAAAGTAGTAAACAACATACACTGGGCAAAGTAGTGACTGAAATGATTTCACTTTGAAAATAATGTAATTAATCACTGCTATAAGTAAAAGAAACCTTAGAGATTATTGTGTTAATTTTTTTTTTGGCCTTGAAATTGAACTCAGGATCTTGGGCTTATAAGGCAGGCTCAGTACCTACCGCTGAGCTACATTCCTGGATCTCCTTGCTTTTAAGATGAGAAATCTATGTCTTAGAATATAAATAGATAGATAGATAGATAGATAGATAGATAGATAGATAGATAGATATTTATTGAAAAGATCTTACTGGTCATTAGCAATTCTTTAACCAGAACAAGTAAGAAGAACCATAGAGCTACTTTGTGTATTCATTGTAACAAGAGCTTCCTTATTAATTTAATTTTATTTAAATGCACTTATAATTTGAATATATTATTCCAGCAAAGCACCTAGCATTATTTGTTAACTATTTACCCTGTAGAACTTGGTCTTATTATCATTTTGTTCTCACACAAAGATGTTACTCATAAGACACTATTTAATGATTGGTGAACTATGTTGGTGAACACAGTGATGAATTAATAAATTTTTATTGAATTGATTTTTTTTTCTTTCAGCAATGACAATGCAGTTTATTAGTCATCAATTCCCCGATTATCATGATCCCACTATTGGTAAGTGAAAGTATCCTTTCTTCTTTATCTCAAATGAAAATACTTCAAATCAGTAACTTTATAAATATTATTGATGCTGATGAAGAATGAAAACTACAATTTACATCTGGAACACATACATGTAAATATATAATATGAAGGTTACCATAATAAAAGACTCAAGAGACATTATTTTTCCTCGCTTCTGTGAACACAGTGATGAATTAATAAATTTTTATTGAATTGATTTTTTTTCTTTCAGCAATGACAATGCAGTTTATTAGTCATCAATTCCCTGATTATCATGATCCCACTATTGGTAAGTGAAAGTATCCTTTCTTCTTTATCTCAAATGAAAATACTTAAATCAGTAACTTTATATGGCATCTATTCTTGGAAGTCTTATTCTATCTGTTCTGGTAGATGATGGATGTACTCCATTAATTTGATCTCAAGATCCACTAATGGACATCTACCATTTGAAAAAGTGTGCTTTGAAATATAGCTGATGTGATTATAAATGTATTTTGGTCAATGGTACACTTCCACCTGTCTCTCAGTTTTCTATCACAAAATTACTTAACCAAGTTAATAGTACATTTGGAGATTTTAGATATGAAAATAATTTCATCAAGCACCTTCACCTTAGAGATGAGGAAACTGAGACTTAGAGAGTCAGAATATTAGTAGAGCCAAACAGTCCTGTTTAATTCCCTCCATGTAGTTTTCTTTCTAGCATAGAACAGTGCAAAAGCTGTGCACTCAGAAGCAATTTTCCCCACCATTCAAAGAATGAAGAATGTCATTAAAATGGCTCATTCAAAAGGAGACTTAAAATAATTTGAAATTAATTTTCAAGCAGTCCACGATATTATTCTTTGACAAGAAGCACATAGGCATTGAAAGCAAAAGAAGCCTTGTTTCCCAGAGAGAGAGAGAGAGATGCTTATGGATGCAGGGCTTCTCAGGATGACTGCTTGTGTGGTCAGTGAGCCCCTTTAACTATTCTTTTTTTCTTAACTCTCTATATATGTTATCTTTTATGTGCCAGGTTTCATGTTAAACATGCCATGAGTAGAGATCAGATACAGTCAGTGGCTTAAAAATGAGATCATACATTGAGTTCATAAGGATAAAAACACAAGGCATTGGAGAACAGCAAGATAGATACATCTCACTTGACCTGAAAGGTAGGGAATATGTTTTGTCAAAAAAAAAAAAAA